ACGGCTGCCCGGCTCCCTGCAGCACAGCGAGTGCAGGCGGGGACTCTCCATCGGGAGAGGAGCGGCCCGTGCCCTCAGAGAAGGGGGTGAAAAGTCCCTTATTGACCAGCCTCCCTCAGCCCGTCTGGTCTGGGGCAGGCTCTGAGCTTCGCAGTGGTGTTATATCCTCAGCCCTGAGCAGCCCGTCTGAAGAGAAGAGAAGGCATTAATGAGTGTCCCTCTCTCTACCCATCCTTTGATCCGTAGTGGTATTGTCACATAGCGCCAGATAAAAAGATGTGCTTCACGTGGAGTCTCTCCACTCCTGGGAGATAAAGATGTGCTAATTCCCTTTATTCTCATGCTGTTTTAAAAGCTTTCTGCTCTAGAAGTGCTCTGGTTGCCTAGTTTGTGAGGTCCTTAGGGACACTTCCTGCGCCCGTCGGGCTCCGGGGCTGGCAGAGGAGGGTGGGTGCGTGGTGCAGAGCGGGCTGGGTCGCGTGTCTGGTGTGGGGAGTCCGGACGGGTCATGGGGGGTACGGGGGGCCCCCCTTGTTTCACTGCTGCGCTGCCTCGCCCCTGATGTATGGCTAAGAAATGGCGAGGGCTTTTTCTGGATATAAAGCAGGTTGTAGCCCATGGAGGGCGTCCTGATTTTATGGAAGTCAAGTCAAGGCGAAGCCGCTGCTCTTTATCTCCTGCTCACGGCTCTGAGAAAGCTCTGCTTCCCCCAGACACGGCTGGGAGAGGCCCTGGGAAGGGCTGACGGTCTTTCTGGTGAGGGAGAGCAAAGGGGGGAACTGGGGGTGCTCAGTGCATCCTTTTCACCCGAGTCGCATCCGCCCGCAGGTAAACATTACGGGGTTTACAGCTGCGAGGGCTGCAAAGGCTTCTTCAAGCGCACGGTGCGGAAAGACCTCACCTACACTTGCCGCGACAACAAGGACTGCTTGATCGACAAGCGCCAGCGCAACCGCTGCCAGTACTGCCGCTATCAGAAGTGTCTTGCGATGGGGATGAAGCGAGAAGGTAAGGTAGAGAGAGCCTGACCCAAGCAAGCACCCATGGGTGCTGCAGATACCTTTCCTTTGTTAGGAGGCTCCAGCAGGCTCCTGCCTGTTGGCAACGTGGCAGCACCATGTGCACCAAAGCCAGCATGAGACTTGCCAAGGGCTGCCTGCGCCGGGATGCCAAAAATGTGCGTGTCTCATTTATATTTGGCTTTTGCACTACAGCCAGGGCCTCTTACGGGGTCCAAAACAGCGCTAGGTCCCAGAATGGTACCCAGAGGATGGATGGTTGCACATTAGTAAATGAGCCAGCACCCAGAGGCACCGAGCACAGCACTGGAGAGCAGGGGGGCAATGAAAGCAGACAGTGCTCGCAAGGTCGTTTGCTGCCCTGGAACTTGCACTCCCCGTTTCGCACCGGTTGCCATGTGGTGGGAGCAGCGATGACAAATAGACCGAGCTCTTCCCTTTCCCTGCAGAGCCCCATCAAACAGAGGTGTGAAAGCTGCCGGGGCTGAGCGCATTTCGGGTGACAAATGCTGCCACCTGGCCTGGCCCTTCTTTCTCCATGCAGCACGGGATGTGGCATCCTGGAGAACTGGAGCTGATTAGGGGGCATTGGCAAGACAAAAGATCACGTTTAATTCGCTGGTTACTAATCACCGTGCTGCCGGGGAGGTGAGAGGCTCCTGCGCGTGTCCCAGCTGCGCGCTGTTTGTAGTGCAGACCTCGCTCAGGAGGGGCAGGGAAACTCGGTGAATTATCGTCTTTCTCGTAAGAGTCCGCTGCTCGGGCACCAGTGCTCTAACTCAGTAGCATTCCCTAGCAGTAGCAATAGTGGATTTTTTTCTCATTGGGAAGAAGAAAGAAATTCATTCTCGTAAAAGATATCTCTCCCCTTAGTGGAATTTAAATTCAGGATCTAAAACTCCCTGGCAGTGCCTCTTTTAAATGCTCTTTTTAAATGCTGACTGCGTCTGTTTTAAACTGCTGGCAGAACAGGCTTTTACCAGGCATGATGTGAAAATGACCCCGTGGTGCTGCTCAGTTCTCTGCTGCCTTCTCCCCTTACATCTTCAGAGCCACACTTGCCTCCCTGACCGGCCGATAAACCCGTCCCTCTGCCGAGTGGCTCTGGTTGCGGCGAGCAGCGCTCCAGCCCGGGTCTCTTTGAAGAGCACTTAGTCTTGTCTAGAGCATTGATTAAATAGGGCAGCGCCGGAGCTGCGCCGAGTGTTGAGCAGACCCCGCCACGCTCAATTTACGGGGTTACCTAAGGATCCACAACGCGCAGAGTCTTCAAATGTCAAAGCCGTCTCTGCTGGAGGTGCGGGGGGGATTGCAGCGGGCTGGGAGGCGAGGGCACCCAGGGGACCTCCCTGGCCCTGCAGAGCTTAACCTTTCGGTGCTGGGAAATGAAGCTTTCTGGCCCGAGCAAGGGTGGGCTGCACAGGAGGCAGCGGCTCAGTCAGGTGTAGCTGTAGGCAGAAACCTCGTTGGAGAGAGCACGTGGCTGGAGGGAGTAGAAGAGATGATAACGCGTTGCTTTTGATAGAAACACAATGCACAGCTGGGACCTCCAAGGAACATCACCGGGCAGAGCTTGGGGTGCTCATGGCCCCTTCCCCGCACTCACCCAAAACAATACAGGTTTGATAGAGGGTTTCTCTGTGACAAAGAAAAGCTGCTCCTGGGAGCCATCACCACAGAGCGGTTGCTCTGAAGGTCTCCCAACTCTTCATCCTCTGCCTTCTCCTCGCTCCTGTCTTTCTTGTCCTGTTTGCATCATTTCCACCTCGGTGGGCAAGAGGAGACCTCTTAGTCTTAAAAGGAGAGATTGAGACATTCAGAAAATGCTTCTGAAGATGAGTGGTACAGTGCAGGCACGGTGCTTCGTGTGTGAGGCGCTGGCATTGCCCTGGATGCTTTGCAGATGGGCAGAGCCATGGAGCGTGCTGGATCCCGCGGGAGGTGTGTGGCAGAAGGAGGAAATGGAGGGAGGAAAGTCTAATCTCCAGCCCTGGGAGACTCAGGTGCCTAAAAAGAAGCCGAAAAGTCTCCTGTGTGTTCAGCAGCAGCACTTGCTTTTCAGGGGAGAAATACAGGTGTAGATAGATGTGGAGCATCCCGTTACCCTGGCATTGCCTCCGAAGCCTTGCACTGGCAGCTGGAGACCCGCTTTCCTTTCAGACCCCTCGAACATCTCAGCCAACGTCTGTAGGGAAGGGAACATCAGCAGTAATGCTTAAATCTGTAGCCTGCACTGACATCCTGTGATCAGGTACCTGCTTCATGCCTACCGTTAACGGTGATTGCATGGGCAGCACCACTAAAATTATAGGTCCATTAATTAATTTCTAAATGGTGGTGGAATTCCCCAGGGAGCACGTACGGTATGAGGACTCTATTAATTCATCTTGATTAACATTATCACAAGGAATACCAAATGAATTCATAACGATCAGCCAATTATTTAAAAGTGTGACAGATGGGATCTTCGTAACTCTAGAAGTGCACTCAGGCGGTGCTGGCTGATCTTCTGATGCTGGCATTGCATGAGGAGAGCTTCAGAGAAGGGCAGAAAGCTGATGGATCGGCAGTCCGTAGATGTTTGGGGTATGATCCCCATGTAAGTGGCATAACTCCCCTGGTCCCCAAATAAAGCTCTCTCTTGTTATAAGCCTAAAAATTCAGTGTCTCATGGCAGGTTTGGAGATGCCTTAGTGTTGTCCTAGACCTGAAAGTGAGAAGTTGGATCTCGCTAAGCTTTGGCTTTGAGCAGCTCTTGAGTTTCATGTGTGATATCCACTTGATTTGTCAAGAAAACCTCTCCTTCCCATTGCATTCATCCCAGCTCACTAAAGCTCTCTCTTGTTATAAGCCTAAAAATTCAGTGTCTCATGGCAGGTTTGGAGATGCCTTAGTGTTGTCCTAGACCTGAAAGTGAGAAGTTGGATCTCGCTAAGCTTTGGCTTTGAGCAGCTCTTGAGTTTCATGTGTGATATCCACTTGATTTGTCAAGAAAACCTCTCCTTCCCATTGCATTCATCCCAGCTCACTGCTGCTGCCCATCCGCTTTGCCAGGCAGGAGCCTTATCCTTATACTTACACCAGTCCCGCTGCCTCCACACCGCCTCTGTTTTGGGGAACAGTTTTGGGCTAAATCCTGCATTGCTAATTCCTTTTGTCTAAATACTCACAACATAGCTGGCTTTTTATCCTCTAGTGTAAACTGTTGCATCTTTTAAGTGACAGAGCCAGGGTAATGGGCCTCATTTCCCTAAAAAATACCTTGCTCTCAAGACCTAATTTATAGCTACATAAAGGCATAGCTGCTTCCTGCTGGGGAAGTCTCTCTCCTGTAGGCTCAAGTGATTTGTGGTATTTGTGTGTCATGGAAGTACAGTAAAACCTTCTAAACTAAGTACTATAGCTCTGGTGAGAGAAGAAGGCGTCCTGCGTGATTGGGAGCAGTGCTGCGACCTGCAGAGTGATGCTGGGAAGAAGAGGGGTGAGGGCCATGTTCGTACCCAAAAACCTGCATCAGAAGGGTGAAAGAAAATGGCTTTCTTATGTAGCTAAGAAGATGGCTTAAAGCAGTAAAGGCACCAGGACCTCTTGGGCAGCTGATGGAGCTCTGGAAGGGTTTGATCCGGACACCTGGGGAATCTCCAGGTGAACATGCCAAGAGCAGACCTGGAGGGATGGACCTTGACCACGTGCTGGCCAGGACAGATGAGGCAGTGTACCCATGGAGCAGGGAGGCAGGGGGTGGCCACCGGGTACTGTTGGAAGGACGGGGGATTGCTTCAGGGCTACGAGGCTTTGCTTTTGTAATCAGGTCTCGGGGATTTTGGCTTAAAGGGGTGAAAGCCTGCAGAAGCAGATGATTCCTCCTAGTGCATGCATCGCTTCTTGCTGCTCCCTGTTAAAAACATTTAAGATAGATCCTGATGCCGTGTCCACAGTGAATGAGCCTCATGATCTCTGAGGTATTGCAGCTCTAATAAATAAGCAACCGGGAGCATTTTTCCCCTATGAATTACTGCCAGCTGTGTGAGGCTTTGGTTTTTGTACTCTGTCTCCCACTAAGTACCGGATAGTCAACAAAATTAAGATTACCATCAGGGATCTTGACTAATGCAGGGATTATTATCATGGGGGTGGCTGTTTGCATCCAGAAGCATAACTCTTTCTGCTTGATCTGTTACTCATTAGGGTCTAAGGTGTCTGTGTATCGGCAGCCTTGTATTTTAAAGGGAAGAAGTGGAAACTGCCTTTGAGTTAGAGAGGCAGAGGTCTTGTGAAGAGGTGGGAGTAAACACCGAGGGTCTTGGGATAAAGGCATCTTGCATGCCGTGCCGTTAGCTGGGGTTAACTTCAGAGGTGAAGGGGGTCATCGGAGACTACAAACTCCCCGGCCTCGCGTTGCAGCGCATCGCTATCTCGTGTGACGAGGTCCCGGCCCCACCATTGCTGGCAACGCCGCCGGATCGCACAGCAAGCAGGAAATACCAGCGAGGAGCCCTTTCTCATGCTCCCGCCGGCCGCCCTTGGACGGCTCACAGGGAGCAGACGTTGGGAACCGGCGCAGCCTGGCCCCGCTCCGTCTCCCGCCTCTCCTTCCCCCAGCGCTGCCTCCGGACATGAGCGGCTCCTTGCGTGAGCCAGACTGTCTCCGTTGGACCTGCTGGGCTGCCCAGTTTGTTAACAAGGCTACCACTTGCCGAGCTGAAGCCTGCAGCCCGAGCATGCTGCGGAGCACTGGCGGCGGCGTTTGATGCCGACCAGGTGAAATGGATGTTGATGCATCTCTGCCGGCAAGCTTGTAGCCCATCTGGAGACCAGAAGTCTGTCCTCCCGCAGCGGCTGCGGCTCGGGCTGCATAACTGACCCCCAAGATCGTTCCTAAATCCAGGCGCAGATACGTAACAGCAGTGGCCTGGGTACGGCACGGCTGCAGCTTGCCTCTATCAGCTGCCGTGACATGATCCAGAGTCGTGCTCAGAGGATCCAGGA